CAAAACTACAGAAGTAAATAATTCTTTTTCATTCTCCAGACAACTATCATAGCTCGTTTCATCAATCGAGATTTGAATGGCGTAATTTTGATGTTTAAGCATGGATTGGACGCTTAAAGTAATTAGAATTATAACTGTCCAGTAAGTTTGATGTGTCAGATAGAATGGAACATTTAAAATGTTTCAGCACATTTGTCAATGCAAGCACATTTGATGGAATGCTTACTTTTGAAAACCAGACTGAATTTCTAAACTAACTTTGCTCCCAAATTACACTTTTTTTCTGCCGCTACAAAGGTAATCCATTTATCATTACATTAACAACAAAATAACTCCAGAAAGGTTTGTGACGTCAATGGAATACAAGTGCTAGCTATCTCAACAAACAGCCTGCCAATGTTCCTCAGGCTCAGATGTACAAAAATGGTTTCTTGGATAGGATACCAAAGTCTCACAACATTCATACACACCACCTGCTCTGAATAGAGTTGTAAAGTTTCTGCGAAAAGTAGTACGCCCTAATATTCAAGCTCAATCTTTGCCTTCGTAACAATGGACCCTGAAACTTAGAATCAAAGTGATGGCCCTTCTCTGAACCTTTTCTTGAAATTCTGGACAGCCAAACTGAGTGGGGAATGAATTAGCAAAGAACAGGAGGCACCTATTAAAACAATAGATTGCAAAATCCAGTTATGAATAATTTCATCCTGTTGTTGCTTAAACAAAATAAATGGGTGCTGGTAAGTATGCCAGGATACATCTCTTGCTCATTCTTCAGTGTGTGTGCATATTTCTCTCCTTTGCCATTGCTTTTATTTATCTAAGATAAATCACAAACACTTCTAAATGCACCATGTTATTTTTCAAATGACTTAATTTGATGAAACAAACTTATAAAAAATGTCAATTTAAAATGATCTTATCTTCAGGTTTAGTACCACTCAATTTCTGTCCAGTATCCCATTCTTTGCTCAAGACAAATTTTAATTTAAAAAATAAACAGAACGTAAACCCAACATATTTGCAACTCATTCAGGAATCTCATCTCTTGACCAGATGCTAAACTTCAGGTAGTTTCACTGGCCAATATTATCACAAATAAACTTGGCCTTTCTGAGCATTAAAAACAACTGCCAAAGCCAGCCAGCCCAGGAGATCCAGATATATACCAGTGTGAATTCCTGCCAGCTGTAGCACACACAATGATACAAATGCGTATATTTAAATACACTTCACTGAGAAAGAATGGCAGTTTTAAATGTATGCAACATCAGCTTTTAAACAATTACAAAAATTGGTAACAAATAAAAGAAACTGAAGGAATGGGCCATAATGAGGAAGTGGCATACTGAGAAATAAGCTTCGGGCACTTTTTTCTTGCATCACAACCTGAACAATTATCCAACGCAATAAGAAAGAAAAAATGCTTGGCTCTACTATGAATCTCAAATTATGAACAAACAAAACAAATTACAGTTTAAAAGAGTAGTAAAATATTCAATCATACCTTAAGATGGAAGAAATATCTAAAGGTGAGCAGCATGAACGTTGCTATCTTTAAGATTTTGGGAAAAATTAGCAGATTAAAGGAAACACACCAATGGGGCATTATACAGAAATGTTCGGCCAGATTTTCCGAGGAGTAACAATCTCACAGATTGCCACTCTGGCACTTTTTCTCATAAAAGGAGCTCTGCATTTCTGAGCAGAGATTCCATTCTGGATGCCCTCAGAAATGCAGAACCTTACCTTCCAATCTGACAACATTTTCATGGCAGAGAACTATCAAAGGAAGGCCAGGTAAACAGGGAACAGGTGAGCAGGGTCGCAGTTAAGTAGGATGCCAGCTGAGTCAGATGCAGATTGGACAGAGGTAGCAAATGGGCAAAGTGCCAGGATACAAAGGTGGCAAGGTAACTGATAGTGTTTAGGTTAGTTCAGCATGGGTAGGAGAAACCAGGTTAGGTAATGTCAGATCAGGTCAGATTGCAGGGCATCTGGACCGGTGGGAAGGAAGGGTGTCACGATCGTTAAGAGGCCTGAGTTACATGTAGCAGCTGGAAGTGTAAGGTAGGTGAGGAGTCAGTTTAATAGCCACTCAGAAGTTAGTCGATGTACTTAATAGTCTAAATTTTTCTGAGTAACCATTTTACTTAATTTAGTTGGAAACGTCAAAAGTCTCCAGTTGAAATGGAGACTTTCAGTGCTCCAGGTGCAGTGGATTTGCCCAACAAAAATTTCAATTTCCCAGTTAATTCCTTTGGATTGTACTATGATGGGGGTTCTGAAAGGTCCCCATGCACAATGTCCATCTACACTGGCTTAATAACTATCAGGGCCAGTGGAAAAAACTAATATTTATTGCTTAAAGCACCATGCAACCAACAGTCAATTTCTTCTGGTAGCAATGAATTTGCTCGATGCCAGCAATTACCAATCTATACGAGAGAGGAAACTGGATGTTACAGAGGTATTTTTGGTCCTGTTCTACTTTTCGAATAATTAAGTAAAGAGAAAGAAAATGCATTTACGCAGGAATTCTCATGATCATGATGTCCAAAACTGGTTCACAGCCAATAAGTACTTTTGAGTTAGAATGTCATCAATATTACAACGTCATTAGAATACTGCTATAATGTTGAGATTGCACATTGAACTAATTAGCCATTTCAGAACTGATCAAACTGAATGGATGCAAGTCACTCTCCATACAGAGAGGCTGCCCAAGACAGAGAATATTGGAAAATGCAGAAGTGCAGTAAACAGGACACAGTTAAACGTCCCATCAACCACAGTGATGCAGAATCTCCCTTAACTGCCTGTAAATATAAATTTGTCCAAATCTTTGTTAAACTTGTACTCAATAACACTAATACAAAAGGCAAAGTAATATACCCTTTTCAGAGAAATTTACCATCTGATTTTCAAAATTATAGATTGTCCTGACAATTCTCTTTTCTGAATGAATGGTGAAGCAGGCACAAGGAGCTGAATGGTTTAGCCCTGCTCCTAATGAATATACTAAACTGAAAACATTAAACAGAGGATATCTGTGAAAAACAGAATTGTATTCACAATATGAAGATTTAATTTCATACGTATATATTATTTGACAGAGAGGAAACAATCATGAAAATTGTTCAAAAAGTATAGATGAATCACCAAGTGATCTGTTCCTTGCATCTGAATCACCTAAATACGCAATATACTATATTAGTTTTGAAGTTACTCAGTTGTTTATTTTACAAAAATGCCTCATACCTAAGAATTGCAAACATGTTTGAAAGTTACACGAAGATAACCAGGGGTTAAGACTTGGCTCAGTATTGTGACTTTTTTAAAAATGTTTTTCTAAAGTAAATTCATTTCCTACACATTTCTGAGGTAACTTGATGGATGAAAGCTTCATAAGGAGAATTTCATGGATGGTGATTAGGGAGAAGATCGGGGGGGCTTGCAGAGTGAAGGCAGCATGCACTGATTAAACAAAAGTCAGTGTGCAGCAAATGCAGTTTTTGAAAAATGTTTCAGTCAGCTCATTCACATGAGAATATATTGCATGCAAATTTTGTGCATTTAGAGCAAATCACTACCACAAAAAAAAAATACGCTCCACATCAGAGTTAACAAAACTCAGGGTTACTATAACAGCTTAAACAGATACTTAATTTTTAAAAAGGGAAAAGAAGTCCAGAATATTCAGATATGGCTAGTGCTCAAGCAGAACCACGAACAGCAACCTCCAACCTCCTAAATATTGTGCCGGGGAATTCAAGACACCAATCCATCTCAATTTCAAACTAATAAATCAACATGTCTATTCCCAACTGTAATGAATGTAACAAGGTCAGCCAGGTAGACCTCATGGAATGAGTTCCTGATTGGACCAGATTAACAGCCCCAATCAGGGACACCTGACTGACAGATATAAACAGGAGTGTCAGAGGTTCTGTTTACTCTGACAGCTGGCTCTGAGTAAGTTGGACCAACGTTAAGTACTATGCATATGTAAATAAAGAGTCACTTGTTGACGGGATACTGGCCTCTAGAGTTCTTTCACTAACATTCTCAGTAAGAAAATCCAATTACCTACTGGCCCAAATCCTGCGTTAATAATCAGCAAAATGGCAATACCACTCACAACTGCTATGGAGTAAATCAAACAACAGCCTCCAAAGTATCTACAAGAACAACTACACTTAAAAATCCAGAAGCTCTGCTCTGACCTACCATGCACCTCCATAGGCTATGCTACTGAACCATCATTAAATGGATGTAATGGCATGAAATTGGGGTACTAACAATTAGTTACCCATGAACACAGCAGAAAAAGTTAGCATTGTTACATTTAGCAGTAACTGATGTTTTAAATAGCATGATATGTGAACCCTACTTATAAACAACCTCTGTGGCCCTGTAATTATAATTTTACAAATTACTCATTTCTTTAGAAATTAGTGTTGGAGACCTTTTCGTAAAATTAAAACACGTGTTTCACTGTTCTTTTTTTCCCCCTCTTTTTTCTCTTCTTCCTTACCAATCTTTATTCTTCTTTCCATAGATGGGTTAATTTAAATGCTTACTTCCATTAGGCAGTATTTTCTTTCCAATTTCAGAAAACTGAGATCACGAATTTTTCCAGGTCCTGTGCACACACCCAAGAGGGAATGCAGTTATTGAGATTTTCATGGGAACACATCCCCCTAATTAGCCTAGAGACTGAATCATCATGATGGATTGATTATAATGGCATCTAAGTACTGCACACAGTACTGGTCACTCTACTAATGCACTTGAAACAGTTCAGAGAAGGCTTATTAGACTAAAACCTGGATGAGTGGATTGCTTTATGAGGAAAGACAAGACAGGCTAGGCATGTATCCTCTGGCGCTTAGAAGTGTCAGGGCAACAACTGAAATATACAAGATCCTAAGGGAATTGAGTGGGTGGATACGAAAGGATGCTTCCTTTTGTGAGAAAATCTAGAACGAGGGGCCACCCATTTAGGGCAAAGAAAGGAAAAAATTTTGAGGGTTGAGTGTCTTTGGAATTCCCTTCCTCAAAAAGCAGTCAATGCAGAATCCTTAAATAATTTTATGGCATAAATAGATAGATTC